GTATTTTTTATTGTGTTCTTTCCCATTTAATACACCTTGCTGTCCTTTATAAATGACTTGATATATTCTCCATTATACTCTTCATTATATTCTCTGTTCCCTTTAACTTTTTGTTGTATTCATTTGGAAATGTTGGATCTGTGGCTTCCCTATTTTGATTCATGTCATTTTTTTCACTTAAGTTGGATGATTTCTCAACAGTAATATCTTGTATAACAGGAATCCTAGTGGTTATATGTAGAACTGTGATCCACAAGGTCAGCAATTTGAAACCACCAGCCACTCCTCAGGAGGAAGATGGGGCTTTCTACTCTCATAAGTAGTTACCAGTGCCTGAAACACACAGGAGCACTTTTACCCTGTGCTATAGAGTCTCTCCAAGTCTCCATGCCAGTGAGTGATAATGTCTTGTGTGATGGTTTTATGTTGCTGTCTCTTATTGTTGATTATGTGCCCAAAGAACTCCCTTCAGTTGGTTTTTATATACTTTTCTCTCTAAATCTGGCCTGGCTTGCAAAAATTAAATTCCCCTACTTCTTGTTTCTCTGAAAATTATTTTATTTCACTCATATTTGGTGGATAGTTTTACTGAATAGAAGATTCTTGGTTGGCAGCGTTTTTTCCTTTCAAGAATGAATGTGCATATATTGATCGGTTGCCTTCTTGGCTACAAGGTTTCAATGGGGCGGGGGGATCAGAGCTTATTCTTTCTGTTCTGGGTCTTTAGCAAAACTTAAGTTGTTCCTTTTGATTGTGTTCCATATAATCCTTAGGTTTTCTTCAACTTTTTCACCTTTTTAATAGCTCGATTTTCTTGGATTTGGTCTTGACAGATTTGTCTTTGACCTTACAATTTGTGTTTCCATTATTTTAATTCTTCCATTTTGGTCTTTCAAAATATTAACTATTTCTAATTATGTTAGGGCTTGCCTTTTGAATTTCTATTTGGAGTTGTTGAATTATTACTAGTTTATCATTTACTTTGTCAGATTGGTCCTGTATTCCTTTTTGAATTTTATCTTCTCTTCTGTTTTATCTGTTTCTGTCAAATTTTTCTTCCATTAATTTAAAGCAGCTGAAAATCATTGTCCTAAACTCCTTTACAGAAAGATCTAAAGCTTTCTCCTGTACACATCTGCATATTTTGCAATCAGTTGAGCCATTTTCTCTTATTTTTGCATGTATGTAGAGAATGATTCCTACCTCTGAGACATAGGGTGGGTTTGTTTAGTTTTTTTGGTCTCAGACTGAGAAGCAATCCTAGTGCACATGTTGTAGATCCCGAAGAGTCAAGGGTGGCTTTGTCATTCGACCAGGCTATCTCAATCAGGGACTGACAGCAGGAAACAATTAAATCCTGCCCCTGTCAGGATCTGGGTTTCAAGTTCGGATCCTGAGTTTCTTGAAGTGTAGACCAATAAGCAATACAACCAACACAAACTTGAAGAGAAGATAATATTCAAGACAATGCTCACTTGCTCACACAACTTGTATTCATGGACTCTGTGTATCAGTTCTTGGCCACTGGTCTCTTTTGAGCTGATAGAGCAGTGATGCATAGAGAGATGAGGTTCACATTCTTTTGTACTGATTTTCCCCTGACACAGGCCCACCTAATTTTGTACTCCCCTAGGTCTGACTCCTTCTGCCCACCCTCCTGCTCACTCCCCACCCCCTCACCCACCCCACCCAGAATTTCAGAGTTCCAGCTAGGCATTGAGAGTCAGCAGCCTCTAGCTCAGTGGCTCTCAACCTTCCTAATGCTGCGACCCTTTAATACAGTTCCTCATGTTGCGGTGACCACCCCCAACCATAATACTATTTCGTTGCTACTTCATAACTGTAAGTTTGCTTCTGTTATGAATCAGGTGACCCCTGTGAAAGGGTCATTTGACCCCCAAAGGGGTTGTGACCCACAGGTTGAGAACCATTGCAATGGTCTAGCTGATTTGAATCTCCCCTTTCTTGCTGGAATGTATTTAGTGGGCCATGGCTCTCTCGACCCTACTGTGTGGGGTCGAGAGAGCCATGGCCCGTGAATTTTCCTTGTCTGAGTTCAATCATATTTGCCCCTCCTCAGAGCAGATTCTGCACTCATGATTCCCAAACAGAATGCATTAGGGGAGAAGTGCTAGTGCCCTCTGTAATATTAATTAGGGGTGGGTGTGGAGACTGTTATCTCGCCTTTTCCCCTCTCCTCCACTGGGAAGAACAGCTGTGCAAGTATCCTGCCAGAGCTACCCAGAATTTATGACCTTGGGGTCGTCTTATGATGATTCTGCTCTCTGAAATGCCAGGGTGTAATTGTTAGCAGCTTCTGTTCCTCAGGAGAGGTCCAGAACTCAGGTTCTTAAGTTTCCTCTGCTTTTTCAAAAATATTATTTGAAGGGGGTTTCAAAAACCTGCAACTACAGTCATATTGAATTGATCTTTCCTGTGTGTTTCATTAGTATTTTGTTGAAAGCTTTTCAAGAGCCCATTAATATCCTGTTTATCATCCACTAGCCTTAACATCAATTGACACACACCCCAATCTGATTCAAGCACCACTATAATAGTTGTTGCCAAGTGATGATTTTTAAAATATCTTCTACATATATTAGCACACAAAGGAGCTTATAACTTTCCCTTCTACTTAATTTATTTATAAGGACTCGTTGATTGCTATTTTATTCTTCAGTGGGTAATTTATTTACTATGATGCTCAAATTATCAATTTGGCTAATGGAAACTCTGTAGGTTTCCTCGTGTATTTTTAACACCATCTTTCACTCACTGAGCACTTCCTTGCTTTTGAGATAAAAAGGTATTTCATGGTCATTTTGTACTTCCTCTCCCACAACCTAGAATTGACCAGTTCTCCATTGTTAGTTTCCTCGAGTGGGTAATACCTCAGTTCTTGACTTGGATTAAGAAAGAATTCACCAAAAAAAAATCATAGCATTGTAAGTGAGGAGGAGTGCAGAGTGGGGACCCAAGGCCCATCTGTGGGCAATTGGGCATCCCCTTGCAAAAGGGTCACGGGGAGGAGATGAGCCAGTCAGGGTGCAGTGTAGCAATGATGAAACATACAATTTTCCTGTAGTTCTTGAATGCTTTCTACCCGCCCCCACCATCATGATCCCAGTTCTACCTTACAAATCCGGTTGGACTGGAGGATGTACACTGGTACAGATAGGAACTGGAAACACAGAGAATCTAGGACAGATGATCCCTTCAGGACCAGTGGTGAGAGTGGCGATACTGAGGAGGGTGGAGGGAAGGTGAGGGAGAAAGGGGGAACCGATTACAAGGATCTACATATAACCTCCTCCCTTCGGGACGCACAGCGAGGAAGTGGGTGAAGGGAGACGTCGGATGATGTAAGATATGACAAAATAATAATTTATAAATTATCAAGGGTTCATGGGGGAGGGGGAGCGGGGAGGGAGGGGAAAAAAACAAGCTGATACCAAGGGCTCAAGTAGAAAGCAAATGTTTTGAAAATGATGAGGGAAACAAATGTACAAAAGTGCTTGATGTATGTATGTATGTATGTGTGGATTGTGTTAAGAGTTGTACAAGCCACCAATAAAATGATTTAATTCTTTAAAAAAAGAAAGGAAAGAATCACGCCGAAGATTGGTTTGTAATCCAGATGAGTTTTTATAAAGGAGTTTCAGGTTTTACAGTCTCAAAAGAATCCATGCAATTAGGAGCTGATACCAAGGGCTCAAGTAGAAAGAAAATATTTTAAGAATGATTATGGCAACAAATGTACAAATGTTTGTTGGACGGATGTATGGATTGACACAATGGATGGATGTGATAAGAGTTGCACAAGCCCCAATAAAATGATTAAAAAAAAAAAAAAAAAGAATCCGCACTATTTCAGGGAAGTGTGCCAAACTGCGCATGAGCCACACTGGGGCTCAAAACGGAACAGTGGCACCCCCATGGGACTGCGTGCCCACATGTGGACGGAGGCCAGGGACCATGGCACAGCCTGAGCTAGCGCAGGAGCAGAGAAAGAGAGGAAAGAATCCTCTCGGACCTGCTCACGGGTGGGGGGTGGGGGTGTCAAAGAGACCGGCCCTCCCGCTGCCAGGGTATTTCAAACCTCTGGCTAGGGAGGCATGGTTGAAGGTTTTGGTTGACCCCATTGGCTGAAGCAAGCCCACCTGGGCCTAGTTTGGTCCATCCAGTTGGAACACCCACCTGGCTTGGGCCTGATTTGGAGCATGCCCAGTTAAGGTTGTTATGGGTGGCTAATGGTCACCTGATTTTTCTTCCCAACCTCCTGCAGGAGGCCTGTGCAGGCATAGGAGGGACAAACCCCCCCCACCCCACCCCCCGTCCCTGTCTGGCTCCCTAACTCAAGGAGCTCCAGTGCCGCGTGTACTCATTATCTCTGGGGATGCCTTGTGTACTCATTATCTCTGGGGATGCCTTGTGTACTCATCTCTGGGGATGCC